TAAAGTCTTCTATAGACAAGCTGCCTGATATTCAGGTTTATGAATCTAGTAGTAATATTAAGTGAACTGTTTACTAGTAAATGGTCAAGCTTTTATTTAAAAGATTTAATCTTAAAGTCTTCTATAGACAAGCTGCCTGATATTCAGGTTTATGAATCTAGTAGTAATATTAAGTGAACTGTTTACTAGTAAATGGTCAAGCTTTTATTTAAAAGATTTAATCTTAAAGTCTTCTATAGACAAGCTGCCTGATATTCAGGTTTATGAATCTAGTAGTAATATTAAGTGAACTGTTTACTAGTAAATGGTCAAGCTTTTATTTAAAAGATTGGAAAGATGTGAGTCCAATGCTGTAGCTAAACTGGAGTCAGCTTAAAACTAAATATCAAATTTAAAATCTACGAGACCTCCAAATCTTAACTCTGAGTGTGGGAAAAGTTCCTTTTTATTGTTTAAGTTTTTTCTTAGTGCAGTAAATACTGATTTTAGTTATCTTTTGTTTCACTGCTAATATCCTTCAAGATATTAATTTTAAAAGTTGATCTGTCGTTAGGAACAGTTAAGGACTGGTTTAAGGTGACTTAATATTTTCGCAGCATATTTAAAACTTAGCCTAAATAACGTTACTTAGAATGAAACACGTAGAATGAAGCTTGTTATAATTAATATTATTTCTTCTTTTAACTCTACATCAAATGTTGTGTTTTATCATAGCTAAAGCATCTGTAGACAAGAATGACCATATTCAAATATATACAAAAACATCATTGATGTATATCTAAATTTCATCCACCCGGTTTAATGACGTACCTAAGAGATGTGAAGTTTTTCTTCTCCTTTCATAAACTTTAACAGATGTCTCGGAACACAGGTGCTGACCGCTAGTCCTATCCCAGGATGATCCCAACATCCTCGGACATGCTGGAAAAGTCATCCGAGCATATTCCAGTCGCCGTCGAGTTGCACACAACTTCCGCCACCTACAGAGGAAAGAATAAAATCTATTTCTAAAAAAGTTCAAAACTGATGAGCAGATTAACTGAGTTTTATTTATCATCAGCAGTGTTTTAACACACAAGTTATTTTTACACCAGATTAACTGAGTTTTATTTATCATCAGCAGTGTTTTAACACACAAGTTATTTTTACACCAGATTAACTGAGTTTTATTTATCATCAGCAGTGTTTTAACACACAAGTTATTTTTACACCAGATTAACTGAGTTTTATTTATCATCAGCAACATTTCTGTAGTTAGATATTTGGTAAAACACACATATATAGGTAATTTCTCCCATTTCCTCGGCCGTGGTGTCACTATATATATGATCAACTGTTGGATAACACGAGTTTCAAGTATCTACATTTCTGTAGTTAGATATTTGGTAAAACACACATATATAGGTAATTTCTCCCAGCACATTTCCTCGGCTGTGGTGTCACTATATATACGATCAACTGTTGGATAACACGAGTTTCAAGTATCTACACTTCTGTAGTTAAATATTTGGTAAAACTAGAATTACACTATGGTTTCAATCAGGGTGTCACAGTTTGAAACTTTTCTAACTAGTTACTCATCATGATTCCACCAATTTGTAACTGATTAACCAGTTGACTTGGAGTCTACAAAGTTTAAGAATTGTCAATGTCACATTGTGGAGTTGACACACGTTACATTGACGATTCTTGGATCCACGTGTTTAGTTTGGATTATTCACCCATGCATTAAAATATAAATAGATTGTTAAATCAGTTCCTCATTACAGAACAAAATACATGAAATAATTCACACGAGCTGGCATATTAAGATTACTGCTTTGGCTCGTATGCTTAGAAACAGACAAAAATTAAATCCTCATGCATGATCTGATTAAGAACTTCCTGGTGTGCTGTAAAGTTCTAAACTTTCAGATTTGCTGTTTCTGGTATAGCCAGTAAGCAAAATTTGACTACGATCTCATTTTTATGCCCGACACTAAATATCAACATAAAATAAGAAACAATGGCTTTGAGTAGCATCAGGAGAATTCTGATCTGGTTAGGGCCTCAATTCCAAATGTAGCCATTTATGCGAGTAATCATGGTGCCCCTAGTTTCTACGTGGAGGTATAAAACAGAGACGAGTAATCGTGTTGCCCCTAGTTTTAACGTGGAGGTATAAAACAGAGACGAGTAATCGTGGTGCCCCTAGTTTTAACGTAGAGGTATAAAACAGAGACGAGTAATCGTGGTGCCCCTAGTTTCAACGTGGAGGTATAAAACAGAGACGAGTAATCGTGGTGCCCCTAGTTTCAACGTGGAGGTATAAAACAGAGACGAGCAATCGTGTTGCCCCTAGTTTCAACGTTGAGGAATAAAACAGAGACGAGAAATCGTGGTGCCCCTAGTTTCAATGTGAAGATATAAAACTGAGAAGAAAAAATTAAGACTCGTTTTGCAAACACAAAGTGATTTGTTCACCTTGAATAGTTTAATTCATCCACAAAGAGTGATCCATTTACCTTAAAACTTTTCCTCGGAGCTGCATCATTTCCACCTTCTTCTTAAGTTTAGCAAGTTTTTCTTTCCAAAGTGCTAGTTCTTCAGCATAAATAGCTTCTGCACAAGACGATGACAGGGTTGGTAGAACATCTTCCAAAATCATCTCCATCACTGAGGTGCTAAGCTTTTCCTTCAGTATGACTCTCTCTTTTTCCACTGTATCCCTGCACAAAATGTCTTGTGAGTATTTCATAGTGCGCCAAAAGTTTATTTACAAAAATCACCATGGTAACACAGCACAATTCAGATGATGACATTTATAATGATCAAACTAAGACCCTCGAGTTTCACTTAAAACTTTTTTTACTTACGTGAAGTCACATGTTCTAAACTATCACAGCCAGTTTAAAACAAAATGTTTATCTAAGAAGCATCGTTTAGTTTTAAACTTTCTAAACATACATACTTAAGGAACCATCAATAAACTGCATGAAAAACTTACACTGGTGAATTTGTACATTATTTTCAGTGTTAGTAATATTCAGGACCAATTTGTTTCATAATTATCAATGTGAGCTATGATGTACGAGATAAAAGCTGCTTTACCTAACAAGGTTGCGTGTATCTTCCATATAAACATAGTCAATCACTTCATTACATATAAGTTCGGCCACTCTCTCTTTCCTTTCTTCCAGTTGTTTCTGGGCTTCTGCTTCAGCAGCTTCTTGTTGTTTCTGGGCTTCTGCTTCAGCAGCTTCCAGTTGTTTCTGGGCTTCTGCTTCAGCAGCTTCTTGTTGTTTCAGTTCCAGTTCTACCTTCATGACTTCCTTACATATTTCTCTGATGTCATAAAACGTATGAAATCAACTAAAACAGTTTGTAGGTTAACTCACATAAAGTTTTAATCCACAGTTAGACTATTAATAAATAGTTCTCGTTTTTGACAGAATTATCGGACAAGATTTTTGTATTTTTATCGTCAAATTTATTTTAATCGAAATTGAAAATCTCATAATGTTATTACTTACACAACAAGTCTACTATAACACAGCATACTTTTAATGGAAGACATTACAGTGCTATTACTTACACAACAAG